CTCCCAAGACATTATAGTACTAACGGAGTGTTGGCTATCCTGCAACCCCAATATTCCAACACTGGAAGGCTATAACAGCTTTCACAGTACGAATAGAATAAATAAAAATGATGGTGTTGTTGTCTTTATACGAACTAATATTACCAACTGCCAAGTTTTTGAACCTCAGCTTCAGGATGCCAACTGTGTAGCAGTAGCTATAGACCAAGACACGTGCATTTTAGGAATTTACCGACCGCCTTGTTTTAAAGATGTTACAAATTTTCTAGTATCTCTTGACACATTTTTGACATCCAACACTGCATATAAAAATTTGGTGTTAATGGGCGACATAAACATAGACATTAGTGAGGGTTCTATAAGTAGCAATGCTAAAGAATACTTAAATATTACAGCCAGCCATGGCCTTTTACCAGCTCATACTAAAATAACGCGTGATAAAACTTGTCTTGATCATATTATCTTAAAGTCTAGACACAAAAGCACAGTATTAGTACTAGAATCTACCGTAACTGACCATAGTGCAGTTTTATTATCCTTGTCCAAACGTCTTCATAACAGTGTTTTCCCAAAAACTAAGACAAAAATTGATCCCATACTTCTTGAACAGTACATTACTTCCATAGATTATTCGTCAGTATATCAAACAAATAATGCAAACGACGCTTGTACACATCTCATAAACGACTTGTCATCAGCTATCAGTATGGCCACGAGTACCCAAATAGTCCCTTCCCGTTTACGAATACGGAAGCCATGGATTACTCCTGGGCTGTTGAGATGTATGAGGAATAGAGACCTAATGTATAAAAAAATGAAAAAGTGCCCCAGTAATGAGACACTAAAGATCATATTTATAAGATATAGAAATTTCTGCAACAATCTGCTTAAAAATGTCAAAAGGCAATATGAAAGAGACATGTTGACAAAAGCAAACAGTAACCCAAAACATCTCTGGAATGCAATTCAATCTATTACCCATACCTCCAAAGGAACTCAAACCGCGAATGACTTACTATTTATATATAGAAATTCTGTGAGGTCTATAAATGAGATAAATGACTATTTTGTCAATGTAGGAAAAAAATTGGCCGAGACCGTAACAACTCCAACCGAAGCAGTTGTCAGGCGGGAATGCGGTACGAAACCTTCCACTGTAAACTCGTTTGTCTTTCTTGAAACAGATGAAGCTGAAGTTGAAAATATAATAATGAGTTTACGATCTAACTGTGCAGTTGGTATTGATGGCATTCCTATGTATATCATTAAACAGTTCAAGGCTAGTCTAATTCCGCCTCTCACGTACATTCTGAATCTATGTATTAGCACTGGAGTATTTCCAGATCGATTTAAAAAGGCCCTTGTCCATCCTATACATAAATCAGGAGACAAACGCAACTTACATAACTACAGACCAATTTCTGTGCTACCAGCACTTTCTAAAATTTTAGAGCGAATAATGAACAAAAGGTTAAAGGGATATCTGGAATACAATAACCTGCTATCTGATAGACAATATGGTTTCCGTAATTCCATGTCGACGGACGACGCAGTCCATGACCTTACTAACTGTATTGCCGAATCACTAGATAAAAAACAGAAATGCCTTGCAATCTTTCTTGATTTGGCAAAGGCCTTCGATACTGTCTCCCACTAAGTTATGCATCAAATTAGAAAAAATAGGCATTCGGGGGAATCAACTAAAACTGTTCCAGAGCTATCTGAGTAATCGCACACAGTGTACTAAAGTGGGAAAACACACTAGCTCTGAAATCCCAGTGTAATATGGCGTTCCTCAAGGGAGTATCCTCGGGCCGACGCTATTCTTAATATATGTTAACGAGATGTGCGACCTTGTCCTGGAAAGTGGTAAAATAGTAGCCTTTGCAGATGATACCGCATTAATTTTTAAAGCAACAACCTGGCAAGAAACTTATCACGCAGCGCAACTTGGATTCAACAGAATTACACAATGGCTAACAAATAATAGACTTACCTTGAATGTCAATAAAACAAACATAATGACATTCAAAATTAAAAATTCCTTAACAAGTAACCCCCACCATAAAATTACTGTCCACACTCACGGAGTTTGTAGTGATGTTTGCAACTGCCCTACTCTCAATCAGACATCCGTTGCTCGCTACTTGGGTGTTATACTCGACGACCACTTATCGTTTCATCAACACATTGACAGTTTATGTGGTAGAGTGCGTAAATTAATGTATGTTTTCAAGCATTTAAGACATGTTGCCGATCCTAACGTTATAAAGATGGTCTACTACGCGCTTTGCCAGTCTTTACTGGGATACTGCATTTCTGCTTGGGGAGGAGCATCAAAAAGCCATTTAATTCACCTTGAAAGAGCCCAAAGAGCAGTGCTCAAAGTCTGTACTTTCAAACCTTATCGTTTTCCATCTAAAAAATTGTACGAGTTTTGTGAAGTGCTGACGGTGCGCCAAATTTTCATTCTGCAAATAATTTTAAAGCAACACATCTCTAAGAACAAAATTGAAAGACCACTATTAAGTGTACTTACTCAGGCGCGTAGAAGTCTTAAACATAAGATCCCATTAACCTACACTTGCACAACATCTTTCGGTCATAAGTTCTATTTCTTCTTGGGACGTTACTTATACAATAAGATAAACAACCTTCTTGTTTTTCATAATAAAACCAAATTTGAAACCAAAAAGATACTTACAAGTTATCTCCTGACCCTCACTTATGAGGACACAGAGGCTATTCTACACCCTCAGATATGATCATGCACCCCCCCCCCCACACACACACACACACATACATGCACACAGACATACACACACATTCTCACATACATCACAAATGCATTATTACATTTATATAAATTGATATGTAACTATGCATGTTTTGGTATTAATAAGTAAGGCAACATACTGTGTAAATTAATTTACAACTTGTACAGGGCAATTTTAATTAAATTATGTATATCTGCATTTAATAACTCAGTGTCACTGGAAGATAGCTGGTACCTATATCTCAGGTTTTACCTTTTTAGGTACCAGCCGCATATTCTATATGTAATTGTTATAGCTAAAAAAATGAGCGCCCATTTTATCACTATTTTCTGTACAATTTACCTTGAATAAATAAATAAAAAAAAAAAAAAAACTATCTGTGAATTGCAAAGGAGAGGCCATGAGTTTGTTTGCCCTTTCTTCTCATAAGGCTCAACCCCTTGGAAACGGGTGGTTGTAGATCGGCATAGGCATATCATAGATTTGGTATAAGTTTAATTTTTATAAAATTTATTTGCTGACCATTTGACAAAACAGAGTTTGTTGCTATTGTGTGTGTTGATCTATTACTTCAAAAGACGATTTTACACAAATTTTTTTTTTCTGAAATGAAATAAAGAGAGTTTGAGTTTGATTGAATGTGTGTGAATACCTCATTTGAAATAAATCTGTCGATAAAGTAAGAAATGTTATGATCTTATGGTATACTGAAAAATAAAAGTACACAAGAATATACGAGTATAAATAAAATAATACGTTCTATTTCAGTTATATCCAGTTACTTATATTATAAATGTCAAAATAAGTTTGTTTGTTCGTTACGCTTTCACGCCTAAACCACATAACCGAATAAAAAAAATCACCAATGGAAAGCTACATTATTAGCGAGTAACATAGGCTCCTTTTTTCTGCGATAACCTAAACACACACAGGTGGAGCAGCTGGCAAAAGCTATTTATAACAAACGTAGAAGATTACATTTGATGATGAATAATTATTTCTCAGAATCAGGCTTAAATCTTCTTTAACGAAAAATTTTACAGTTACTGGACCATGTTTTCGTAAGAAATATCCTATCTTATAGAACTTCTACAATCCATTACTCGTCAAGTCGACACGTGCTTACAAATGAACGTTTTCTCTATCCGGACCAGGGCTAGGCGAGTCGAAAAAAGTTTAAGCGGCACAAATTAGTGTTTTTGTCACTTTTTTGGTGACTTAGCAAGTCTGAACGTTGTTGACAGATTTTAAATTAATCTTATTTCAAAAATTTCATTTCAAGCTTTAAGATATTTTTAAACTTGCTTTTGCCTGCAGCTCTGCCCACCTGTAAGTCGGTTATCGCAGTAAAACGTAGCCTATGTTACTTGCTGAAAAGTAGCTTTCATCTGGTGATAGAATTTTTTAAATTGGTTTAGTCGTTTAGGCGTAGGCGTGAGAGCGTAAAAGAACAAACTTACTTCCATATTTATAATATAATTATGGAAGTATGGATGTTTTACCTATCCAAAAGTTTAATTTTTTGTACTACTGACTACTTAAATCTTAATTTGTAGTAAGTACCTTCACAGATTGAGCGAGTGAACTAGTGAGTTTAGTAGTTGCCTATGATGTGTAACGCCTCATAACTCACCTTGATTTTTTGCAACGAAGAATATTTTTTTGAAGTGAAAATTGCATACACATGACTCCCTCGGTGCTGCAGTGGTAGCGTATGCGACTGCTGTTCTAAGGTCTCAGGTCCGATTCCCGGGTCGGACCAAATGTTTGTAGGATCTCCAAATATTAGATTCGGAGTTTGGGTGGTTTGTATGTATAGTATGGATGTATTTACAAAAAAAAAGTATATAAGTATTCTATCAGTCAATCTAGCTTTCATAATATAACCTCTGCTTATTTTGTAACTAAATGGTTTTGTGTGTCAGATGAAAACTGTATACAAGAAAAAAGGTCATAGACTTTTGAATTTAACAACAATCTTCTTCATTCGTGATGTAGGTACTACTATTAGTATTTAGAAACTTAATACACAAAAGTTGTTAGATAATTCGATACCAACATATCTACTTATCATATTATAATTGGGTATTTAATGAAAATAAAAAGCCTTGTTAGTAAAAATAATATTCACAATAAAGCGCGCGCTTCCCCGAGCTTCTGATTTCTTCTGAAAACAGAAATAATTTATCAGTCAACTAAAATATATAATATATTTGTCCACAGATTCGTCTAACATGCATGCGTCACCACAAAGTACGATTTGAGGATACACAACTTAAGAACACCGTCAACTCAGAACCTATCACATACTGGACTGAACAATCAAGTGACGACAAAGTCGTACGGTCCACCCGCAGCTGTGAGGTGTTCGTACTGCAAACGCCATAAGTTCAAAGAATATGTTCTATTTTAACATGTTTGACACAACAGTTGCTCAATGATGATGTCTAAAATCCTTTTTTAAAAGTGTAAAATAAACTGTAATGAATAAATTCATAGTGAAAAGACGCGAGTGCATAAGATGTTTTTTTTTCATAATTTGTCTATGAAAGATTATAACTGGACATTATTTTAATAGTGATATTCATTGGTAAAATATTTTAATTTTAATTTAGTTTACAAAAAAATTGTTTTTAATGTATGTATATGTGAAAATTACAATGTTTAGGGTAAAATAATAATTTATATTTAAGATTCGTGTTGGTGGACACTAAAATAGTACTTTTCATGTATTTATATTTTATACAGGGAATGCAAAGTAGAAGTATCTAACTTTTTGTGTGTGCTTTTAATTTCTTAGAAAATTTTAAATTGATGTCATTGATTATGTAGATGGAAAACCTATAAGTTTATTAACTTTTATTGATATCAAATGTTAAATTAAAAAGTTATGATCATTATTTATTGTTAAAATATATTCTTAATTAAAGTTTAAAAATAAAATTTCTCATTCTCAACATTTCTCATCGCTTGCAAGAAGAATGAAAACTCTGTACAATGTACAAATATTTCAACGTTTGACCTTTCTATCACGTATCAAGAATGTTTCTTGATACATGATAGAAAGGTCAAATAGTTTAGGCAACCCGCAACTTTTTTTTAGTTTGATGTTTTTAAATTAAAGTGTCTGTTTTTGAAAATTGTATGTAAATGGTATGAAAAAACTACAAATACTACAATTGTTTGATGGTTTGGTCATTTTTTTTTGACATAGGTCTAATAGAAAATATGGAAATAGATTATTTATGATAATAGAGTATTTATAACGTAAATTTTTTTTTTTTTAAATATATTTAAAAATTATTAAAAGGCAATCTTTACGATTTTTATTATTATTTATCTTTAGTTATATCTTTATTATATGGAACATATATGAATATACCCATGAAGATCTAGAGACGTCACTTTTTTGAAGTTATATTACAGTTGTGAAAGTAAACATCGTTTTGTAGTCAAAATTAAATGTATATACTGCAAGAAAAATCGAAGCAGGGTTCACCAAAGTACCCTCTAGGAATCGGCCTAAAGTTGTTTTATGGTTTAGTCGAAAGTGTAGTTACAAAAAGTGACTAAACTATTACGTTGTGTATGAATAGCAGTTAACATTTGTTTTTCATTCCAAATCAGCTATTTCGCTAAACTAGTTAATTTTATTGGAGTGAGTAGACGATTGCGGTTTTTTTTGGGTTGTGTAATACAGTTTTCTTACTAATCGTCTGCATCCTGAAGATTCCAAAGGCAAACGAACTCAGCCTGACCCCAATCCAGTATGATGCCTGACATCGTGCGCTTTTCTTCTTAAATAATGGTCCCTATTCTGTTTTTTTTAACTTAAGAAGTAATTTAAGAAGAAGCTTTGGTAACATTTTTATTGTGTGTTGTTTTTTTTTACAAGGCATTCTTTGAAATCGAATTAAAAGTATTAATATCGCATGTTCTCTTTTATCACGTTGTATTTGGAGATATAAATGGATTATATATTAAATAATGGTTGTGAATGCTTCGCTGAATGCCGTAATTATTAATTTTCAGCAAAGTAAAAATTATTATATATACAACCTATCGGTAACTTATACTTGATAAATTGAACTTTTTATTAGAAACTGAAAATCTTAATTGCAATTAAAAACTTTTAAAAGAAATATAGAATTTACAGTTCATTCGAACAGTTTTATCATAGAAAAAAAGTTAAAAGTATTGTAATATTACACTTGTAATATTGTATTATATAAGTATTAAAAATCACATCTGAAATTAAAGATAAGTTAAAGAATAATACCTGGTCGAAACGTCAGGCAAACCAGAGGTATGTAATACCCTAAATAAGAGATCGCGTTAATTCCCGTTAAATAATATTAATTATCATGGAACGCGAAAGTTTAAAAGTTAATATGTACAAGTTGTATTATTAATTAAGTAATTTAATATAAATGTTATACTTTTCCATAAATTAGAAAATGGTCGATGTTTAATAATTTGTAAAGAATGTCATTAAAAGAAATTTGAAATAATTTTAGTTTTCTTGATCTATTACATAATTTTGTGATTAAAACACAACACATAAGTGTGGCAACACTTACTACAAAATAAATATAGAAATTTAAGACCACAACACTAACAATATTGTACTATATAAATAGAATATTATTGTATTATTTTACATTAAATCAGATGTATATTGAACCGTGTTATATGTTATTTCATTTTTTGTGATTACTTTTAGGACACTCGTTATATATAGTTTAACTAACATATACATGCACATATACATATATAAACATAAGTACTTTCTATTCGTACACTGTAAATAGGGAGGTGTACTATTGAGTAGGTAATTCCGTCAACTGAAGAAGGTAAGGAATGTACCTACATGCTTTTAAATATGAAACGGTTTGTGGACATCCTGATTTTAAATGGGAGCGCATTTCAGAGCAGTACTGCTTGCACAAAGAACCAAGAGTTCACGAACTCGGAATTGTGGACAGGAAACACAGATGGGGATCAAGGTAAGTAGGTGAGAATGAGAAGTTGAGGAAAGAAAAGAGAGAGGTCAGCGCTCGCTGATTACGGCGCAGGCGAATAGGGAACCCCTGTAATTGCGAACGTAAAGCGTCTGCTTTCTTTCTGCTTTCTGCTTCAATCTTTGAAAGTATAACCACGTGTCTACGTGGTTATACTTTCAAAGATTGAATATAAATCGAATGCAGTTATATAGAAGACGGTCTAGTTTGTTAAGGAGGTCTGCATTTAGGTCGAAGTAACACACATCGCCATAATCAATTATCGGGATAATTAGGAACTGCATTATACCGTATTACGCAGCTAATAATTAAAAAAAAATTACTTACTAAATTTCTGTGATAATAGTATTTAGGATACTATTTGATAATGTATCAATGTAAGCATATTAACAAGCTTGCTGTCCTTCCAAAATTAAATTTAATAAATAATAAAATAAAATGACTAGTTATCAGCTGTAATGGAACGTTGAAGTGATTTATCAACACTTCATCAACATCAACAGCCTATACTAGTCCACTGCTGGACATAGGCCTCTCCTTAGAAAGGAGGTTTTGGCCTACTATACCACGCTGGCCAGACGGGTTGGTATAGGGATTGTTTCAAGTTTTCCTTCTCTTTGCAGTGCTGTTGTCCTGCTTAGTTTGCTCCCGACACCCACGGGATGAATTGGGGTGGTGACAATTTTTATTCTTAATCCGTCACCACACGGACTCCGTCACCACACACACTTGTCATGTTGAATTGTCAAACAATGTTTTTATTTGTATATTTCTAAAATTTATATTACTAGAATAATATTATACTTTTAACACAAATAAAAAAATTGTGGTGATTTTAATTTAAACAAGTATTGTGTGTGTAAAATGTGAATTTCAGTGAATTTAATATCAATTGAGGTAAATTAAAGTGAATTGATTATGTATCACAAGTAATTCTTTCGCAAATAAAGTAAAGTAAGTCTTTCGTAACTATTCAGAATCAAATCACCGTAAAACACATTGACCGTAAAACACCGCTGGAGACTGGTTTCAGCTTATCACACGTGAACAAAGATCACATCTGTCAAAATCTATACCTGAGAAAGATTTCGACATAAACATCGTTCTAAAATAAGTTATCACTCACTTGAGAATGGATCGGTGAATCTCGTTTTAAGTGACGTTCGTGTTGTAACATCACTACTTTAGTAAGTAGTAGTATGTCGCATCACTGAGTCACGTAGCAAGATGTACACTCTAGCGCAGCCATTGCTTGATCGTCAGCGACACTCACAGATTAAGAGATATGTACATAGTACAGATAAGACACCTCCTGAACAAACGTCATTTCATATGAGTTTGAGTCTTCATGACGATGATCCGCTAGGGGCGCTAGTGAGCCGAACGTAGGCCAGTGCATACCATCAAAATCGTCGTATCGATATCGATAAAATAGTGATGCGAAAAGTCGGTTTCCCTCATTTTGAAATTAGTCTTATTTTTTATTCTTATCATTTTTAAAAAGGTACAAAAATTGAAACAACTTTTAGTTTTTAATCTTATATTTCCTGCTTTTCATAAATTTGTTGTAGTCTAATTTTTGAACTGTACTTAAATTTGCCTATTTTACCTTTCTTTGAACTGTTCCACCCAAAATTAAGTTGATGCCTCGGCACCAATTAAAAATTTGTAATCGTGTTATGATCTTAATAAAATGTTCTTTTAATAGATCTTTATGGGAAGAACAGCCCAACCATTCCAAATTTATTTCTTCTAAATATTTTTGTCTGACATTCTTGTATACGTATTTTTTATTGCAGTTATGTTCCAAGTATTAGTTTATTGCATTGATTAATTGAGAAAATGCTACAATAATTGGGTACAGGGATACTTTAAGTTTTTGTTTTTTAAACTTTTTCGTTCTCTATACAAAGTTAATTCATGCACATTTGTCAACTCCTTTGTAATCATTGTTTTTTTTTGCATTTAATACATTTAAACCCCTTACATTATTGATTATGTAAACTGTATGAAAGTAGAAGAAGTTGATATTGCAGCATTCTTCTGTACAATATTTGGCTCTTTTTCTACAATCGTGGTTGCTTGGTATGAATGACATGGGGACAACAATTACTTTAGATTTAATATTGTTGCCCCTACATCATCCTCACAATTTGCATAATTAGAATGAATACTTAGCATATTGGTCATAATCAAGGATTTGAAAGAGTTTTCGAATGTGTATGTATCTGGATTATTATTTCATAATTGTGAGATCTTATTTTACCAAAAAAGTTTTTCAGGGGATCTTGGTTGAAATTACTTGTATGATGGAACAAAACTTTTTTAGAAAACAAGACATCTTTTAACCTTAAATGGCTTTCCAAG